CTGAAATTTGTTCTCGGCGCTAAATGTTTTTCAAATTTTGACCAAATGTCCTCGGGATTTGTTTTCTCGTCTTCGCTGTCCCAAGTGAAACTATTATAGATATCTACGCCTTGACGGCCTATCCATAGTAGGATGTACGAGGATTTTTCATTATCTGACCTTTTTGCAAATGGGCCATTGAAAATTAGATTACAGTATTGCTTGAATCTGGCGAATTCGTCGTTGATATCGCTGGTTTGCCAGTTCATAACGGGTGGCGTGAACCCTGCGGCCATGATGTTCTATCACTGACGCGGTCTGCTAGCTGTTTTCTTTTATTTCCTGTCTTGGTATCTGATTTAACCACTTACCGAATGTCGATGTATGTTTTACCTTCCACTTCTGGCACCATGTAATGATTTCTGTTCCTTGGTGGTTGTGAAATATGGCTTTATTTTGAGTATATCAATTCGGGCTACAAATGTGTATCATGCAATCTGATAGATGGATATAGGGTTTCAGTCAATGCTATGGTATCATATGACATATAGCATGACACCGTGTAATCACTCTTGCAACTTGTGTCGCAACGCCGTTGCGAGAAGCTGCGAGACAAGCTGCAGAGAAAATTCTTCCATTCGCAAAAGGCCAGTTCATGAGGAGCTATGTATCTATTTTTTTTACATAGTTATACATTCTTATAATAAACAAACCCAACCCAACCCAGCCCTGTGCTGTGCTGTGATAGGTACCTTGGACATGCTTCGTTATGTCGAATTATTTTGTGACTTGTCTAAAAATTCCAAAGATAAATTAACATATGGCTTACGAAGGACTCATCAGTAAAGATACTACAAAAGAATGAAGTGAGCATTGCAAGGTCTGATTACGTAAACAGCTGGAAACACATCATTACCAAAGTCAGTTTACTTGAGTAATTTTCAGCAAAAAGATGTTATATTCTTGTATTAGAAACACCAGTTCAACTGTGTGATATATCGATACCATTTTTAAAGAAATATTCTTTCGAATAAGTAACGGCTAGGTAGCAAAAATTTCTAAAATAAAAACAAAAGTAGTCCAAGCGAGCGTGACTCTAAATATAAAAAGCACCAGATTTAATTTCATATATAGCACCTTGCAAATATGTCTAAGTGTAACACCGTTTCTTTCATTTTAAAATTGAGTGTTTTTAAGTTGTCATAAAATAAATAAAACTGAACTTTTGGCTTTGTTTAGTGTAAGTGACCCATCTTAAAGTGATTTCGTAATGCTCACATCTGATTGACGACAAATCACTAAATTTTTGAAATCGTGCGTAAAGAGAATTGTTAATTTATTTTCAATTCTTAAAACAAACGTACATGCCACCCACATGAATCAAATATTCGAGAATAGTATAAAAAAAACCTTTTGACCCTTTTGAATATTTAGTCGAATGATTTGGATGAATAGCGATCCTTGTATAGTTTATCATGTCCCACCAGCTTGGCGAGATTAAACTCTGTGTTTTCGTCGTACGTTTGACATAATAATTTACAAATATGCGTCAAAATTGATCAAGATAGATAAATCAATGCTTTGCGCATTTACGATTTAACGATTCTTTATGGCCCAACCAGCGAAGTCCTTTAGGCTTGTGCCAATGCAGCCGGGTCATTCAAAGGATGGAAAATATAAACTGTTTTACTATTTTATTACGGTAACGTACCTTCTTCAGGGTAGAAGACGTCTGAGTTCGAGCCCCTGTGATCCCGATTAGACATCGTTATTCACCTGTGATCGATCTGTGAAATTCACGCAAACATTGTAGTTATAATAATTTGAATTTAAAAAGAGTTGATCCAACAAGATTGAATTTGTCCTTTCTCTCCTTTTTTTATTATTATTTTTTTTACAATACTCACCTTCGTATCGTTGAAAATAAGCACCAAAAAGAATGATCCACTATCCAACTCCCACGGCAAAAAACTAGTTCCTTCAGGTACTTAAAAACTTATTCTAACAACCTCAGAATAGCTAGTCTCTGGCGTCGTTATGCTCCGTGAGTCATTCAGAATCAAGGCCCATGGGACTGATCTGCATACTCAGAATAACTTAACTGCACCTTTGAACGCCTCATTCGAGAGCATTCAAAAGTTGAACTAAATGGGCAAATGACATAAATGTTTAAGAAAAGATGTCTTGGAACGATGTAAAAGACTTGACTGCTTACGTCAATCTTTGTAAATAATAAATCTAGTGTTTTCAAAACCAAACTACAGCAACCGCGAAGATGATCAATGATTGAGATACAATAGAAATTAGAATCTTGTTCTTGTCACTTATATGGTAAAGTTGCAATCAAAATAATTAAAAGTTACACGCTCTATGACTTTTTGCATCTTTGTGATCTTCTCAGCCATTTCGGGAATTTTTAATGTCCAAATTTCCTTCATCTTTTTGACAATTTGTTAAATATGTATTAATTTTTAAGTTATTCAGCAACAAATTACGACTACACTTGTTATTTTCTCTTCTGTTCGACATATATTAAGAATCTTGAAAAAGAAACGTTTTCTCCCGGGGGGTACTATTGCCCGTTTAGAATATGGATGTGCCGCTGAGCCCTCTGAACCCTGATCCTGTTCCAGAGTAAAAATCGCTGAAATTCATACCCTGTTCCAGAGCAAGATCGCTGAAAACCCTGTTCCAGAGAGGAGAGAGCGTGATTTCATATACCCTGTTCCAGAGCGAGCGCGATTTTATTCACCCTGTTCCAGAGTAGAATCGCTGAAAACCATACCCTGTTTGGCGGCACGTACCCGTATAGCGAATAAAGGGGAGTACCCCCCCCCCCCTCGGGCGTTTTCTTGCCTGCTTTTTTTCTTGGATACAAACTAAACGTACAGTTAACATTGGCCATTCAAGTCGCATGCTTTCGGAAACCCCAGCTAATCTTATTATTAATTTCTTCATAATGAGTCATTTTAACCTTTGGTTTGTTTAGTTATACAGCTATGCATATGATGACGTACAGTTTTTCAGTTCATGCGTCGGCCTAATTTCTACGAAAGTAAACTTCTTGTGAACCATTTGAGATCTTGTTTGCTAACTATCTATCTATACTCGGCTATACGAGGCACGCAATTGAAGACCAGTAAAGCAATATATATAGAACCGCCACACCAAATTGAAAAAAACTTTACGAATATTTTATACCAGTTGTATCAGAGTTGAATCTGGATAAATTTGATAAAAACGTTAAAAACGTGTGCAATGTATGATTGGATAGCCATAGATTCTTTTTATTCTCTGCATTTTGGCCCAAAGAGTAATTTTCTCAGTTTATAGTTTTTTTAATATCTTGCTTTTTGAACGAACAAGATTCTCTATATCTTTATCTGAATTTCAAATTTCCCATGATAGCTTGTGCCTCAACGACGAAGATAAAATAAAGTTGACGTTTTTGTTTAACATCTTTTCGTGTTTTTTTTTTGATAAACCCTTTTCTCGTTGTAGCTAGAGTTCCTGTGCTTTATTAGAATGAAAAAGCCTGGGCTATAGTTTTTGCCCGCAAGGGCTTCTGGTTGATAAGCCCGCGGTGAATGCTGGGTCCTTCCTCTTTTCATCGTGCTCGAACAAAATGGGTAAGTCGTCCACGTGTCTTGCAAAATATCGCTATTTTTACCCTCTAAAAACACAAAGAACCCAGACTGCCGACTTCATAGCTTAGCTTAATGTTATTTACAGCCAGCCTTGTGGTTTTTTATGACAGGAAAGCCTCGTGGACTTCGTACAGCCCGTAAGCTTCGATCACATCGTCGCGACCAGAAATGGCACGACAAGACCTACAAGAAAGCACATTTGGGTACCGCTCTGAAGGCTAACCCCTTTGGAGGTGCTTCTCATGCTAAAGGAATTGTTCTTGAGAAAGTGTAAGTATTCCAGGAATCAATCAATACTTTCTCTCTTCTAAGAGTACAGTTATAGAGTAGCGATTTACAGGATTTTCGTGCATTTTTTAAAAGACTTTACTTCAAACTTTTGCTTTAGATTTATACATTATTTCGAAATTATACTTTACAATCTCTGATAAAAGATGATAGTTCCAGTGCTTGATGTTAGAAAAAGGGCTTTATTCTATATGCCTGATTTCAAGCTTATTTACTCAAATTGATTGTTCACATCAATGAATTCTTTCAGTAATTGCAAACTTATTGTAATTACCCTCCAACCAAAGTATTTTTACTCATTATTTACACATAGTCAAGGAGCACATGCATTAAAACCATGAAATAAAAACAAGTTGACACTGATAAATATTAGCTTCTGAGTGAGTAACACTCAACCATTTTAATTATTTGATTAAAGACCTCGAAGTCGGAGAACCCTTCTCCGACCACAATTCAATAACTTTCAAAGTGGACACCCATCCTTATCAAAACCGTGTGTCAAAAAAAGAAGTCTACGCATTTAGCAAAGCCGATTGGAATCATCTTAGAGCTCTGTTTAATAAAACACCGTGGGATTGTATTTTGGAAGACGAAG